TATATTAAATAATATTAAATAAATAATATTAAATAAATAATATTATTAAATATATTAAATAATAATATATTAAATAAACATATATAATACAAAAACGGTTTCAGAAAAGAGGGAAGAAAATGAAAAAAAAAAAAAGTGAAATCCGTTTTTCAGAAAACAGAAAATGAAAACGAGAAAATGAAAACACCTTTTTTTCGTTTTCTGATTTTCACAAAAAGACAAAAACGTTTTTGGTTTTGTTTTTTAAAAAACGAAAATGAAAACGCAAACAAACAGGCCCAGTGAGAATGATTTTTGTGAAAGAATTATAAAATAATTAAAAGTTGTTTATCCTTTTTTGTTTTTATTTTCTAGTCTTTATCAACAATGTTATAATAGATATTAATTAATAATTATAACCAAACACAAATTCACTTTTTTATTATATTCAAAACAATCTCTTAAAAAATCAATAATCACAATTTCAGAATCGGTATCAGAATGATTATCAAAATAATCTCGTTTTACTTTTGTATTAAAAACAAAACGGGCCCATTGTTTCCTTTCACGAGATTCGTTTGTCACCCACTTTGAAATATAAGCCCCAGAACAGATTGCTCCTATATAAACACACACATGAATGATGAAACCAGCAATTGTAATGTGTAAGTGGGCAAAAAAAAAAAAAAAGATGAATTTCCAAGAAGCAGCAGACAGGATGGAGATCAACCAAAACCAGCTCTCACAATTACCAGAGGAACCAACCAAAGGAACCACAATCCTCAGAACTTGTTTCAATGGAATCAATGCTTTATCAGGTCCTTGTCTCTCTTTCTTAAATGAAAAAATTGTTCCTATAAATACACACACACTTCAAGCTATAATTATGTCGCAAAGGCTTTTTTCCCCCCTAAATTTGGGGTGACAAGATTTTAACTTTACATCTTGTGGTGGAGTCAGGTGTGGTGTTATTGATATGTTATGTTTGCTACCAGACAAAAAGGGCCCATTTTTAAGGCCATTGAGGAAATTGTTGTGCCTAATTCTTGATTTAAATTAATAACAAGTGTGAAAACGTGTAAAATATTTGTGCCTTTTATGGTTATATATTTTGTTCATGACATGCACTAAAATTTAACTAGTAGGTATCACACGTCACACTTTTTCTTAATTTACAGCATGTTACATAAATAGTGAATAATATATGATCAAGCTTGTTTGTCCCATTTTTCAGGTGTGGGACTACTATCAATTCCTTATGCACTTTCCCAAGGAGGGTGGCTAAGTTTAGCTCTCCTTTTCTCAGTAGCCATCCTCTGTTGGTACACAGGGCTGCTTCTCAAGCGATGCATGGACTCAAACCCACTCATCAAAACCTACCCGGATATCGGCGAGGCCGCCTTCGGACGCAAAGGACGAGCCGTGATATCCGTCTTCATGTACATAGAGCTGTTCCTAGTTGCCGTCGAGTTTCTCATACTAGAAGGTGACAACTTGGACAAGTTGTTCCCCAACACAAGCTTGAGAATTGGAGGCCTGAAAATGAAAGGTCAGAGAGGTTTCATGCTTCTGACTGCGCTTGTGATATTGCCAACAACGTGGCTGAGGAGTTTGGGAGTGTTGGCCTATGTGTCCGCTGGTGGGGTCCTCGCTTCGGTGTTTGTGGTGGGGTGTGTTCTGTGGGCTGGTGCTTTTGATGGCGTTGGATTCCATCAAGGAGATGAGATTTTGAAGCTCGGAGGAATTCCCACCACTATAAGCTTGTTTGTTTTCTGTTATTGTGGCCATGCAGTTTTTCCCACTTTGTGCAATTCCATGAAGGATAGAACCCAATTTTCAAAGGTAGCTAGAAAAGAAAAAAAGATGTTTGAGAAAAATTAGAAATATTTGGTGAACAAGAAATTTTAGAGTAGTAGGGTATGATCAGATTTTTGTTATATTTTATTTTTGAGGCGTTAGGTTTGATTTGATAGATGGGTAAATTTTTCAATTAGTATAAAAATTTCTTTGTAGTGGTAGTCGCATGCATATTCTTTTTCACTTTAGTGTAAATCCGCATTCATTTTCAATATTGAGATATAGAGTTCAAATCCTTCAACTTTTATATTAAAAAAAAAAAGAGAAAGAAATCTCTTTATCATGGCGGTGTCTAATAATTTTACTCTTTATGGTCTTAGATTAAATAATGTTTTGTATTTTTTTAATCTGAAAATTCTCATAATTTGGGATATTTTATGACCTTAGTCATTTCTGTTTTGTTCCTCACTTCAGGTACTAGTGGTATGCTTTATCACAAGCACAATCAACTATGGATCAATGGCCGTCCTAGGCTACTTGATGTTTGGAGATTACCTCAAGTCTCAAGTGACATTAAATCTTCCTATAGGAAAAATCAGTAGTAAGATAGCAATTTACACCACACTAATCAATCCTCTTACCAAGTATGCAGTTATAATTGCTCCTATTGTCACTGCCATTGAGGACACGTACCCTTTCCGCAACATTAACCGATGTGTTAGCATCCTAATTAGAACACTAATTGTGTTCAGCACTGTAATTGTGGCTCTAATCGTCCCCTTTTTTGGCTACGTAATGGCATTCATCGGCGCGTTTCTGAGTGTTACCGTGTCAATGCTGTTGCCCTGCTTGTTCTACCTTAAGATTAACAAAGCTGCTCGGAGTTTCGGGTTTGAATTGACAATGATCATGGGAATTGTGGTGACGGGGTCTTTTGTTGGTGTAATTGGTACTTACATGTCCTTGAAACAAATTGTAAACCATCTATAACTTAGAGTTCATTATGTTGTAGCAAATATACATAAGCTTGTAAATAAGTACAAATAAGATTTTGCAAGAAACTCATCTGTTTCCTCCTCGAGTCAACAATAAACAAAACGCACAACAAAAGAAAAGGCCACAACGCCACAACTTTTCTTTCTCTAGAAAAAAACATGTAGAGATGAGGAAACTTTCCAAAGTTCTGTTGGACCCCGTCCTCGACCAATGCTAACTCCAAACAGGAAAAAAAAAAAAACCAAATAATAGTAAATAGCAGATTTCTAAAATTAAATTAAATTAAATAAATAACATATTTTAAAATTATATAAAGTAAATAATATTTTATCGTGTAAATATTTTATACGACCGATAAAAAATAATTTACGTAGTAAAAAATCTTATTATGTGCAAAGTATCTTTTTACTAGTCATAAAAAGAAAATTTACGTGAAAAATATTTTTTTTACTAGTTATAAATAAAATATTTATGCAATAAACTGTTATTAATTTCAAATAATTTAAAATATATTATTTACTTAATTTATAAAAAAAAAGTTTATTGACCTAATCACGAGTCATTTATTGGCGTAGCAATTATAATGTCTTCCTTAACGATAATAATGTCTTCTTTTGCTCTTCATAGATGTCTACCGTTTTGAATTTTGACGATTCCAATATAGAAGGCATTGTCTATTTATTCCAATATAGAAGGTATTGTCTGTCCAATAAATCGATGTTGATTATGATTTGTTTAATTATCTTTCAAGTAGAAGGATGAGCCTATTTTCATTTCATTGGTGGATTTCGGGATTTCTTCCAATATTATAAGGACGAGGATAAGGATGGACTGACAAACGTTAGCAGTCTCTTTTTTCACTAAAAAAAAAAAAAAAAAAAGTTTTTACATGGTCCGACTCCTTTTACTTTGTTGAGGTAAAACTAATCTTTTGCTTAAATGACATCATAAGTTTTGATGAATGAGTTGGAAAATATCACGAAAGAAAGTAGACAAAAAGAAAGGAATAATATCTTAGCACCCCTGATAAAAGATCCATACCAAGTCACAATCCACCATATAGGATTTAAATATTGCTCCAAGTTGTAACCATGGCGACAAAAGAGAATCCACATTCAACACTAGAAATTAAAGACTTATAGGTAATGGCATATCCAGCAGTTCAAATAAGACCTTTCTCACACCCCAAAACCCAAACCAACAGTACTACTCCGCTCTCGCTCTTACCAAAATGCACCTCTCTCATGGAGCTCAAGCAAATTCAAGCCTTTTCCATCAAAACCCATCTCCAAAATGATATCTCTGTCGTCGCCAAGCTCATAAATTTCTGCACTCTGAGCCCCACACCAGGCTTCATGGGCCATGCACAGCATCTGTTCGACCAAATTCCCCAACCGGACGTTATCGTCTTTAACACCATGGCTCGCGGCTATGCACGCTCCGAAACCCCGCTTCGAGCGATTGCGCTATTTGCTCAAACTCTATCCAACGGAATCCTCCCCGATGACTACACATTCCCATCCCTCCTCAAGGCGTGTGCCAGTTCCAAAGCCTTGGAAGAAGGCAAACAATTGCATAGCCTTGCCCTCAAACATGGGCTCGGCCTCAATATTTACGTGTGTCCTACTCTCATTAACATGTACACCGCTTGCAATGACGTCCATTTCGCTCGCCGATTCTTTGACATGATAGATGAGCCTTGCATTGTCATGTATAACGCAATCATCACAGGCTATGCTCGAAATAGTCTGCCAAATGAGGCGTTGGCATTGTTCCGGGAGCTGCAGGTGACCGAGGTTAAGCCTACAGATGTCACTATGCTGAGCGTGCTTTCTTGCTGCGCTTTATTAGGAGCGTTGGACTTGGGGAGATGGGCACATGAGTATGTTAAGAAGAACGGATTCGGTGAGTATGTGAAGGTGAACACTGCTCTAATAGACATGTATGCCAAGTGTGGAAGCTTGGAAGATGCAGTGTCCGTCTTCGAGAACATGTCTGTAAAAGATACGCAGGCTTGGTCCGGAATGATTATGGCATACGCTACTCATGGCCATGCCTCCAAAGCCATATCAATATTTGAAGAAATGAAGAAGGCAAGATTTAAACCAGATGAGATTACATTTCTTGGCCTGCTATATGCTTGCAGTCACACTGGATTGGTGGAACTAGGCTTTGAATATTTCCATAACATGAGTAAAAAATATGGCATTGTTCCCGGGATCAAGCATTACGGGTGTATGGTGGACTTGCTAGGCAGATCAGGCCGCTTAGAAGAGGCTTACAAGTTCATAGATGAATTACCAATGAAGCCAACACCGATTCTCTGGCGCACCTTGTTGTCTGCTTGTAGCAGCCATGGAAGTGTGGAACTAGGGAAGCAAGTGATCAGGCGAATTTTCGAGATAGATGACTCCCACGGCGGGGACTATGTCATCTTGTCGAATTTGTGTGCAAAAGCAGGGAGAAGGGAAGATGTGGATTTCTTGAGGAAAATGATGAAAGAGAAAGGCGGGGTGAAAGTTCCCGGGTGTAGCTCCATAGAAGTGAACAATGTAGTGCATGAATTCTTCTCCGGGGACGGAGAACGTTCCGTTTCGACTGAATTGCACAGCGCACTTGATGAGTTAGTTGAAGAATTGAAGCTCTCTGGATATGTACCTGACACTTCTTTAGTTTCACATGACATGGAAGAGGAAGAGAAAGAAATTACTCTGAGATATCATAGTGAGAAATTGGCCATTGCTTATGGACTGCTAAGTACTCCTGCTGGGACAACAATCCGTGTGGTGAAGAATCTTAGAGTCTGCAGAGACTGCCATTCTGCTGCTAAGTTTATATCATTGGTGTCTCGTAGACAAATAATTCTTAGAGATGTTCAGCGCTTTCATCATTTCAATGAGGGAAAGTGCTCTTGTGGGGACTATTGGTGATCAAGATTTGTTGGACCAAGAGGGTGGATATCTGAGGACTGAGCTAATTGTTTACATTTTTTTAAAATTGATTTTAGATTTTGCATATATTTTATCTTCGTATTCCATTATTTATTTGGTAGGTAATAGGGTGAAATAAAAATCCGTTTGTGAATATTTTATTCGTTTCCTTTAGCATATTGAATGATAGATTAGATTGTTAGCGATTATTAAAGAAATCTTTTCTTTCACATGTGTTTTTTTCTTGGATTTTCCTTTTAGGATGATCTTTTATTACCATGTTGTCGTTTTATATCGCATTGTCTCTAAGCTATTTGTATTAGATATTTTGTTGTCGTCTATAATATATCTGTCGTCGTTTGCATGTTGTTCTTTCATTTGTCAATTATTATTAGTTCAAATTAAGTCGGTCGCAGGACATGTTCTCAATTACTGGGCTACTGCCGTAGAACTTTGAACGAGGCATTTTGTTTTTTATGCTGTTGTCTGTAAAGTTTTTTTTTTTTTTTTTTTTTTTTTTTTTTTTTTTTTTTTTGTCGTTTCTCAAAGATTTTGATATTTTTTATGCCGTTTATAGGTTGTCGTCTATAAGAAATATCGTCGTTTAACAAGAGATATTGACGTTAAAAACTTTTACTGCCTTATGATGCGGTAATGTCGTTTTGTATCAGTTGTCGTTGTACAAATACTGTAGTTTATGCATGTCTGTTCTTTGTCTGAGGTCCTGTCGTTTCTTGTAGATGTTGTCGTTTGTAACATCAGATATTGTAATGTAAAGTTTCTTGTCGTATGAAAGTCATGCATCGTTTGAAAATTTTATTGTCGTGTTCCATATTTTGTTCATTATATTTGTCTGAAGAAATTGAAAAAACTAGTATTCTGTAAAAGGAAATGGATCTTAAAACCTACCAATGAAACGAAAAGCTCTGACCCTTGTCGGTCATAAATTATATCATCAATGAATTGCATGGAATTTTAGCTCATTTATGCGAAATTATAAAACTAAAATGTAAAATCCATACTCACTTTCTTGTGGTGCCTTTTGGACTCTTATCATACACAGTTGAGGGAAAATATATTATGTGCTTTGAATAAACGCTCCATTTATGTATTTACAAAACAAATACTGTACAATTTGACATCTTAAGCTTTATTTAGTTTACTGGTCCAGAATCTTTTTCTTACAAAAAATCAACTTCAGTAGTCTGAATTCACAAGTGATGACTTTTGCTCGTGACATTTGAGATATGCTTGAGCTATTGGGAGTATTGAGTTTGCTATAACAAATTGGTTTTTAGTTCATGCAGTACAAAACCACAATAATTGCAGAATTAAATTGAATGTAAATTCAGTTGCGTCTGAACATGAGACTGTATATAGAACAAGTGTTCACATGGCCATACTGTTTTTGAACTCATTTTTAGAAAAGCCCTTCTTCGGCATGTATCTTATTTTTTACTTACAAACTCTGGAAGCCAAGATAATAAATAACCAAACTTAAACTTACTTGTAGAGAACTTGGAATCAAATCATGTGAAATTGTATCCAATTTCATATTTTTAGAAAAGATTTGGACTTTTTCTCATTGATTTTCTAACTTATGTTTGTGCATTTTGTATTACTAGTTTTGTAACGTGTTCCGCACGTATTATCGTGTTAGAGACACGTGAAAAGTTTATTATTTATTGAATAATGAGAAATTTATTTATACAATTATTTAAAGATTTTTTAATTTATTTTAAAAAGAATGTGTAAAGATAACAATTAAAATTTTTTTTTTAAATAAGTACACATTTAAAAAAAATTATTTTAACCAATTAAAAATAAAATAAGAACACGTGCGAAAAAAATTACTCTTAAAAAAAAGTGAGGAATAACATATATTTAAAAATACACAAAAAATTAAAATGTAAAAAAATTACAAAAAAAAAAAGAACTAAGTGGAGGAATGTCATGTCATGTGACAGCCTAAAAAAAAATTAAAATTTTTTTATGTATTGTTAAATTACTATTTTTGTATTGTTTAATATTTGCCCTTTGGGATGGAGGCATGTTTTTCTTTCAAGGTCGTTTTCAGAGAGTTCAATAATGAAAAGGAACATAAGAAATGATTCGCATCTTAACTCCATTGTGTGCACGGAGGACTTTCTGAGGTTAGTTTGCCGTGTGAAAGCAAAAATGCAAGAGACATTTAAGAGTATAGTAATAGCTTTGTAAGCTAACGAAACAAGTACAACTCACCAACCAGACAAGGTCTGACAGCTGAGCTAGGTACATCCTCCATCTAATTGAAAATTCGGAGACGAGTTCTTATCCTGTCAAGTGGCATTAAAAGTTTGACTTTTCCCGTGTTCATAAAATAATTATCATAATTATTGTTTGATATTTAAATAAATTATCATAATTACTTCTTCTATTCGTATGAGCATTCTGTTGACTCTCAGAAGTGTAGATCCAATGACTCGGTTAACCACCTTTGCTCTCACGTAGAGTTGGCTCCGCACCTAGTGGCGGAAGGAGGAATTATTTACAAGTTGGGTAAATTAAACTAAAATTTCGACTAAAATTACAATGTTACTATATATATATTTTAAAAAAAAATTCGTTTTTGTTACCTTTATTTTAATGTTTTCATTTTTTTTTTCTTTTTCTTCCAAATGAATCAAGGTTGTAAAAAAATTTAATTCACTTTTGAAAGTTTAGGGTCCCAAAAATTATAAGTTTTTACCTAGTTTTGAAATATTTAAAAATCAAGACATGTCCTATAACTGAAATGCTTTTAGAAGATTTCATGGGGACAAAGTAGGAAAAAAAATAATATATATTATTATTATTTTTAGAACAAAAGTAAAGTCTCGTTTATTTTACCGATTCGAGTTTAGAATTCGAATTTTACTGTAGTAAAAAGTTCTCAGAAACAGTCGCATCTAACTTTTTTGCTATAGTAAAAATCTCTCACATAAAGTCACATATCAACTTAAATTAAAAACTCGAATCAACGAACTAAACGGATCTTAAAAAGAGTCCTTACTCCTTAGGCTCTAGAGGGTAGCTTATAGTTTCTTTTGATTTTTGAATTAAGAAAGAGTTCATTGGATAGTGGCTTATCAGAAAATTGGAAGCTATTTGGTGTGCCTATTTAGTTTTCTAACTTGGTAAATGTTTATCCTCCTTTACCATTTTCAATCGAACTTATTGTTGGATCCAGTATTCATGATCGAATTTCCTTATACGTAGGTGTGTCATAATTAGTGCTTGTAATTTTTTGCCTAAAAAAAAAGATATTTTCCCCCCTTTTAAAAAAGGAAAATTGGAGGCCGTAAATGAGTGAAAAGTGGGTGATATTGACATAAATAGAAAGATCGAAGAAAACAGATTTCACACAAAAGCAGAAAAGGAAGAAAATCGAAAGATGCAATATAATTAGAGAAGGTGATCAGCCGACATACCAATCATATGATCCGACCGTTACACACGTGAAGGATGACATGAACTATTTACCATTATGAGCATATTCTGTATCAGTTGTCCAAGATACTCCGACCCTTAATCTTCCTGTCATTTTTGGCCTATAAATACAGCCACTCGGTAACCTCCGATATCAATTCATTTTACGCAAATAAATTTAAAATCAGTCTCAACACAAAGGTTAGAGAAAGAATGAAGTCCCACCGTTTGATCGCTTTGATCAAGGTTTTAGTGCTAGGACATCTATCAGTCCTTTGTGTTTCACAGGAGTTCGATTTCTTCTACTTAGTCCAACAGGTCAGAGATCTTCTTTGTCAACTAGATATCATCGATTCATTTCACTTTTCTCTAATTCTCTCTTTTCTTTTTGTTTTTGTTTTTTGCCCCTCAAATATTATAGATTTCTTTCTTCTTAAGTCTATCTATGTTTTGGTGCAGTGGCCAGGCTCGTACTGTGACACAAAACAAAGTTGTTGCTATCCAACGACGGGAAAGCCTGCAGCCGATTTCGGGATTCATGGGCTGTGGCCTAACTACAACGACGGAACGTATCCGTCGAACTGTGACCCGAACAACCCCTTTGATCAATCCGAGGTAATTTGCTTTTAAATTTCTTCATGGGGACATTGAGACACATTTTTAGTATTGTGTTCATCGAATATTTTGTTTACTAGCTAATGTGGGGTTCGGAGAGAATAAGCCGAAAATAAGAAGACAAATTAGAGCATGTATAACGAATTCCTTGATAGATATTGAAAACTCAATGAAATTCAAGGAGTCACCAAAGCAACGTAGAATGAAACAGTTGGAGATTCATGGATGGATTGTAAAGCGGTACAAGCAACAGGAACAAACGTCCAAGTTTTCTATAACAGATTCTTTACAACACATGCTTAAGCAAGCTTTATCTATGGTCACATGCCTTGCATGTCCCCTTTTTTTAATGGATTTTGCGACCCCCACCTTTTTGTCTTTAATAGGCTAAGCAAACCTTATCTTTTCTTTCAAAAAACATAAAGAAATTCGCGTTATACCCCCCGCCACGCTTAATTTTTCGCTTTTTGTAGCCATTTGTGTCAATTTTCCATTGTCTTTTATGTTATTTATCTTGAAATAAATCTATTGATTTCTCCTATTTTGTCATGGCATGCAGATATCAGATCTTACCACCACTTTGCAAAGAAATTGGCCAACGCTAGCCTGCCCAAGCGGCAGCGGCGTGAAGTTTTGGGAACATGAGTGGGAAAAGCATGGGACTTGCTCCGAGTCTGTGCTTGACCAACATGCCTATTTCCAAACCACTCTCAACCTCAAAAGGAAAGTAAATCTCCTCCAAGTTCTAAAAACTGCAGGTAAAATCAATCAATATCCTCATCACCAATGTCATAATTCTATTGAGAAGTTAATCAAATCCTCTAGTTCTTATCTTCCTTCTATATAGATATGGAGTATCCCATTGTTCTATAATTTGGCCACAAAACTGATTTGTTCATTAAGATATATTTGGTAAAAAAGTATATATATTCAATTTCATTACTTTTATAGTTAAATACAATTGTACCCTATCTGTAAGAGCATTACTATACGACACTGGTCATGTACTGAGCACCATCTACTAATAGATAGTAGGTTCCGCAATATGAGGTCAACAAATGGGTCTCACTTTCTATTAGTGATAGTACTTAGTACTAAGGTGCCGCCAAGCATTTTTCTACCTATATTCTCACGCACTTCACTTACATATGGAAATAATTACATGTAGGAATACAACCAAATGGAAAATTCTACACTCTAGAGAACATAAAAAAAGCTATACAGGATGGAATTGGATACACCCCATGGATAGAGTGCAATGTGGATGCGTCGGGAAATAGCCAGCTTTACCAGGTTTACTTGTGTGTGGACACATCAGGATCCAACCTCATTGAATGTTCAGTTTTCCCAAAGGGAAGAGCATGTGGTTCTGAGATTGAATTCCCTACTTTCTAGATATGTTGACATTAAGCTTAAGAAAGAAATTCAGGACCATGGAATTTTAATAAGAACTCTCTACTTGATTAAATGTACAATGTATTCATATTGTCTTACCACTTGATCATTCATGAAGTCATGATCAGTGAGTTCTTTCCCTGATCAGGGAGTTCTTCCCCTATTGTAAGATGAGAAACCACAAGTTAATATGAAGCAACTTTTTGCATTGCTCTTGACTATCACAGAGATACCAAACAAGAGAATTAAATAAAAAGGAATACTGTAATCATTATTGCCATTGGTATAGTGAAACTTTTTTTTTTTAAAGATAATTATGAAACTAAAATTTTTACTAGCTAGTTAAGGATAAAAAAACTTGAACAACATTAAAAGTACTAAACTTTTTTTTTTCTTCTTTTGTTTTTAATAACCGGAGATAATTAGTAGTTAGTTCACAACAAGTTTGTTGTACTCCTCGCCGGAAATAGCCGCTTGCATTATGCCCTCCGGATTGATTTTTCCATTGTTGTCCAAAAATATTTTCAGCAAATTCTTGGAGAACCCACACACCAACGCCACTCCTTTCTGCATTGCCGGCACCGGCGTCGACGACGAGTATCTCAACTTCCAAAACACAATCTCTGGCAACGCTTTTCCGTGCCCCTTTCTCCAAGAACTTCCTCGTTATGACATCTTATAAGTTAGTATCCCAATTGGTTAAAAATCAAAAGATACGTTTATTTGAGTTTACAATGTTTAAGTTATACTAAGAGTTAAACATGATATGACTTAAAATTTATATTTATATACTAGAAGAAATAGTACAATATTCACATCCCATTCGCTAATCTTCTTTGACAAACTCTTCTTCCCACTTATAAGTCTAATTTTACTGGACAAACTAAACACATAGTAATGCGTACATAGTTTTACAAAAACGACATAAAATTAAAATTGACCAAAACCAAACCTACATATAATGAAAAATGGGCCAAAAAAAAAAAAAAAAACACCCGCAAGAACGCCAAACTAAAAGCTATTGACACACACAAAAGACATAATGATGTAGGAACAAAGCTAGCTACTTGTCGTTTGGTGCAGCTAATTTAGTTGATAGTCTTTCTTTAGTTCTGATATTTCCTTTGTCGTTTATTAATAGTTGCTGCCGTTTTGATTGTAAGAGGGAATATAGTTTATGTTTTGTCATTGGAAAGGTTAAAAACCTGATTATTGTAATTGAGTCAAGTTTTGCTTTTCCGTAGCTCGTAGAGCTTATCAATGGAGTTTGTCCTCAGGATTGGTTCCTAGTAAACCAATTCCTTTTGCCTTCCTTCCAATTTCTATTGCGTCACATAACTTAAAGAACGAAATTCGTGCAGTATTAAGTTCTTCCTCAAACCAATCATAGCTAACCATGTTTTTACGAATTAAGATCTAAACTAATCAAATATCTTTAAATTATATATAAACAATTTGTATTCAAATTATACAAATTAATACAATTACAACTTAGCAATGTTAACAACAATATTCTACAAAATTAAATTAATAAAAACCGTAGTTTCACCCCCAAACTTATAAACAACAACTTAAAACTTCTTAACCGCTTGATCAATTTCTAATCCTAAACTAAATAACAACTTAAGTATTTTAAATTTCTAACCCCCAAACTAAAAATTACTCATTTCAAAATTTTTAAATCCTATATAAACATTAAATATTCAAATAATACAAATTAGTACAATTACAACTTACAATGCTAACAATAATAAAAATCAGCGTCTAATAGTCTAACCTTAAATTAACCATTCTCTAATAGTGGGCATTTAAAAAATAAAACCTTAAAAATAACTTTTTAAACAAAAAATAACATTAAAATCAACATTTTAAACCTATGTTTATACGTAGATAGAGGACGGCTGTTGGTGAGGACGATGACGGTTGGTAGAGGTTTGGCTACTACGGTGATGACAATGGGGATGTTCCTCTTCAGAGGAGCGATGTTCGTGAGAGAGAGGAGAGCAGCAGAGAGAGGGACAATTGAGAAAGAGAGCGAGCGACAGAGAGAGAACGGTGCAACAGCGGAGACAGAACTGGGTCGATGATGGAGTAGCAACGGCCGGAGTTCTATGGAGGTCGTGAAGAATGAGAGATAGAGAGACAAAGAGAGAGTGTGGTGTAAGGGTTTATGAGGGATCTTGGTTTGTTTGAACAAGGATACGAGGGATCAAAGTTAAAATTTTGTATATCGTGCCCAGATTAATTAGATGACAGTTTTAAAAAAAATCGTCATTAAATGTTTTAATTTTGATGAAAGTTTTAATGAAAACCGTCGTTTAAGGTTTGCGCTAGCTGGCGCACCTTTTAGTCAGTAATATAGACGACGGTTATTTTATAAACCGTCATCTATTAAAATACGTTAAATCTAACATTTTTTGTAGGGCTGAACGTTTCTTTCTCTATTGTCAAAGTAATTCCAAATATTTTCACGGCGCTTGTCCTTGTAAGGCAACGCCAACCATGGCATGCATGGTTTCAGAACTCACGCGACCTGGGATTTGATAAATGTCACTCATTTCCTCTCAAACTTTTTTTTTCCCCCCCTATTCAGAGAAAATAGAAATAGATTAAATGGATTAAATATGAAGCTTAAAGACCTGTTTTGTTGAATGAAATGAAATTGAAGGACTAGTTTCATAGATATAGCATCATCAGCCATCTTCAGTTCAATATTCCATTATTTCTGGTTATTGTACAAACATAAAATAGGTTACCAAAAAGGACAAAAATAGATCCCCTTTTAATGTTGATAGATAACACATATCAGATGCCAAAATAGTCAAAATTAACTCATCCAAGAACAAGTCCACCAGCTCTAGACTTATGCCATAAAATTAAACAGACCATAGTTATATCAATAACATTAATTGCCAACAAACTTATCTCTGTCATTTAAAAACAAGTACTTCAACTTCTGAAAGTTAATTTAAACATGTTTAAAATGCGGTTAGCATAGCACAGTTTGACAAGGCTTTTGATCAGGAAGATTTTTTACTATTATCAACAGCTTCTAGACATATAATAAAACAAATAGAACAAGTAATCTACGGTTTGACGAAACTTCGCACTTTTCTTCGCAAGCTATTTCCTTTCTTATTCAGTAAAAATAGAACAAAAAAAATTCAGTTTTATCCTTTATAGACCTAAAAATGGATGAAAAGAAAAAGAATACCTTTAAATCATTTTTGAAGAATATTTTAAACATTTAAGAAATATAACCAACATAAATAAAGGAAAAAAATTTCAAGAACAATTAAGATCTGGAATTTTATGTTTTTCTAAGTTTTGAAATACTTTTTATAAACTTTTCACCCAAAAAAAAAATCAGAAATAAACAAATTTAGAGTCTTAATAGTTGTTAAACATTGATACGTTTAAGCATTTTATTTGCGAAGACTCTCTGTTAGTCTTTTAAACGGTCTGTTTAATTTGTTAGTGTCTAGTCTTCTTCTTTTTTTCTTTTTCGGTAAGATAGCTTCTTGTCTTGTTTCAGATTGTGTTATTACCCGACGACGTAATTTTATATTTTCTTGTTCGCTTATTACCGGAACACGTTCGATTATTTAATTTATTGGCGGAAGACCTGATTAAATTCTAGTCATGTTCTTCAGATCATATTAATCTATGAATTAGGTGAACGAGGTTGGTGAAGAATAACGTTTACTGCAATTATAGGTGTACAACGTAATATTATATATATATTTTAAATATTAAAATCTTAGAGCCGTTTAGTTTATGGATTAGAATCATTTTCGATTTACGTGTATTTTTTATGAGAGAAAATACTGTAGCGAACCATAAACCATGATTCGAATCAAAGAACGAATCCTCCAACCAAACGGGTTTTTAAATTACGAGTCAGTTTTTTTTTTCTCCCCCTTAAGCGCACACGTTTTATAAATTGTTTTTAAATTGCAAACCACCAACAAACCTTAACTAAAGATAAAAAAAAATATCTACTTAGCTATTCCAACTGTTTTGTTTGTCGTTATTGTTCGATTATTTAATTTATTGGCGGACGACCTGATTAATTTCTAGTCATGTTCTTCAGATTATATTAATCTATGAATTAGGTGAACGAGGTTGGTGAAGAATAACGTTTACTGCAATTATAGGTGTACAACGTAATATTATATATATATTTTAAATATTAAAATCTTTAGATTACGAGTCAGTTTTTTTTTTTTTTTCTCCCCACTACAACAAAAAAGGCCATTTGCGATGACATTTTTTGCGACGACATTTGTCGTCGCAATTACTCCACGTTTAAAAAAATAACCATGTCGTCGTTAATAACCTAAATGTCGTCGCAAATAATTTTGGAGCGCAAATTTTAATGGCGCAGATTTTTACCGCCAAGGTAATCCATTTTTTGCGATGACATTTTCCCTTTATTTGCGACGACTTTGTCGTCGCAAATAATTTTATGTTATTTGCAACGACTTTTTCTCTTTGTTGTCGCAAATAATCTTTTCAAGATTTCACCATAAACCAAGCGCGGGAATTAATGATTATTTGTGACGACATTTAAACTTATTTGCGACGACAATGTCGTCGCAAATAAGTCTGATCTAATATACCCTATCTTCTTCCTCTTCATTTTCTCCCGCTGCTTTCTATCTCTCTCCTGCTAAGTCTCTCTCTCTCTGCCTCTTCTTTCCCTCGCCGCCGCCGCTGCCCGTCACCACCGTCCCTCTCCTCTCTCTCTCTTCCCTTTTCTCTCTCTCTCTTCCCTTCTTCTTCTCTCTCTCTCTCTTCCCTTCTCTCTCTTTTCTTCCCCTCTCCGGCCGCCGCCGCCGTTCCCGCCGCCCCGCCCCCGCCACTCCTCTCTCCTCTTCTCTCTCTCTCTTCCCTTAGCGAGGTATCTCTCTGGTTCGTTTTTATTCCTATCGATTTTAAATATAATTTCTTTGTTGTTTCTAAAAATTATGGAAATTTTGTGCAGGAGCTAGGGCATCGTAGGGTGGCACTGGTGCGCGTGGGG